ACATATTTTGGATGTTTTTACATTTAGGGTTATTATCAATAGGTATGTACTCATTGCCGCAGGCTTTAGATTCATGGTTACCAAAGGTTCAAGGGTAATTCCCTTATTATCTAACAAGTCTAATTTAACTCATTTAGTATGTTTTTACAAACACAACCTAAAGGTTCTTTTTTTTTTCCTTCCTTTTTCTTCTTCCTCCATTCTTTATAGTTAGGTATCATATTCTGTACTCTTTGTCTATCCCTTGACTGACTTTGGGGGTAGTTGATTTGATTTCACATTTGCTTAGTAATTAGTTGTTCTCCCTTCTTTACTGTGGTTTTATTTCCTCTCGTGACAGCTATTTAGCCTTAGGAGCACTTCCATCTATAACAGTCTCTCCAAAATACACTGCAGAGATGGTTTGTGGAAGGTAAATTCTCTCAGCTTTTGCTTATCTGAAAATTGTTTAATCCCTCCTTCAAATTTAAATGATAATCTTACTGGGTAGAGTATTCTTGGCTCGAGGGCATCATACATTTATTTTATATTAAAATATAAATTCCCAGAATAACTCAATCTAGTCACAACACAGTATTTATCTGTTTCAAGATTATTCAGACATTGTGACAAAGGAAAAAAAATGCAGGTATCCCCCCTTTTTGAAAGTTTCTGTTACACCCATTTGTTTTTATGAAAGACCTATATTAGTACCTGTTTTCACTAACCAAAAAAACACAGAGAGGATTTTTGCCTTTATGAAAAAAGGTGAAAAGCAAAAATAGCATTCAGCATTTGTTTTACAACAAGCCATTACAGAGACATCAACACACCCAAGCAGTGAGAGTGGCACTGCCAAGCTCCTTCCCTGGGAACTACACTCAGCATCTCAGCTCAGCATCAGGCAGCCATGGCTTTGAACTGCATCTGTGAGTGTCTGCTTTAACTCAATTTATTTTGTGTATCCATTAGCAAAATGTGTCCTGAGGTATCAGAAAAGTCTAAGAGAGGTTACTTTTTAGGTCTAGGAATACTAAAATTTTCCATATAAAATAATGGTAATTGATTCTTCTTTTTATGCCATTTTGGCCTACAAAAGTTTTCTTAGGAATACTCTACTTTCAGTTATCAGGGTAACCTGTAATCAGTTTTCCTCTTTACCTGCTGGGCATAAAATGTGGCAACATTTTTTTTCCCCATCCGATAAGCTTCTTTTGCCTTGCTGTAGCATTCCATCCTCTTTTGTTGGTGCAGAAAAGCCTCTGCCCTATAGTCATTGTACTCTGGGTACTCAAAATCCTGGAAAGATGGTTCACTTGGTGTATCTTCAGTCTCTTTCAATTTCTTTGCCTATAGATGTTACACAAAAGTAAAATACAAAAAAGTAGAAAACAAAAGCTTTATTTTCAGAAAATGTATATGAAAATTGGCTCTACTATTTATCTTTCTTCTTAGAAAACAGACTCTCCCCAGTGTCTACCTAGTAAGTCATGCACTTAGAACTATCAGTAACTTTTTCATGCCACAAATGTACCCCCTTTTAAACTACTCTTTGTTAGAGCATGTTGAAAGTTCTGTAAAATGATCAAAATGTAATTAATTAAAAAATCAAGCCAAAAGACAGACTCAAAGATATTCAAAGAATGCAACTCATTTATGTAATGTAAAATCTTCCAAATTTTAGTTTGTAAATCCACTCAAAAGGTCCAGTCATTGAAGGTAGTAATGGAATATTTTAGTTTATATTTTTTAAAAAACAGTCAATAAAATAATTCAATAATATTCTTTGTACAGCAGAAGGCCATGTGGAGTGGAGGGCCTGGTAGTTAATAAAAATTAGAAGTAGGTTTATAGGGCAGTTCTCAGTCAGTTGGCTACCAACTAGCACTATGGTAGTGTTGACTTTTTGAAAAATTATCTATCAAGTAATTGTTACCCAAAATGGACCTATAAATTAAAGTAAAAGCAACTCTACTAAAACACAAGGTGATGAAAATAATAATCATGTAAATTTGCCTCAATGCTATCCACCAGATAGAAAATTATATTTTTCTGAAGAAACTTCTTAGATAGTACATCCACATATCTCTAAAATACCAAAAGTCAGTGTTAAAAAAAAAACTACAAATAAAATGACTTCTATATCCCACTTGGCTTTTCATTTATTCCATTCTCCAAAGTGTTATTTGCAGAAAACTACTTGCAAACAGCAACCTGATATTTCTTAGCATGTCATGGCAGGGGGAGGGATGGGAGATTAATTACTATGATTTAAGTTGATTTTTTAAAAGCTTAAAAGAATTCCAAGTATCAGGTGCCATAACAAGTAATTTAATGAACATTTTATGAACATTCAACCAATAATCACCCTGAAAATATCATCTTCAATTTTTTAAACAAATCATGCTTTTCTTATATGATTAACTAAATTAAACAGTGTTGTTACTTGTTTAATTTATAAATGCTGAAAACTCATTACATTAGAAATATTATCAGACTGTAATTACAATATACTCTATAACAATCTTTAAATGCTAAATTTTTATGTAATATCATTTAATATATTAAATGCTACATAAACATATGTATTTTATATATTATTAATTGACAAAAATAATTTTTTAATTTCATGTCTGTGAATGAAGTTCAGAAGCCAAGAAACATTGGCCTAATATATAATAGTGATTGGTTGTATAATTTCTTCGCTCACTATTACATTTTGCTTACTTAGCCCTTAGAATTTAAGAGGTTTAAAAGAGTTAAAGAACAGAAAAGAATAAAGACATCACTCCTAACTCATTACCAGAGTCAAAAATCTGTAAATACACGTCAATTTATATTTGCAAAAACTACCCAGCTTATTTTTATGAAAGAATAAAAAGCTCTCACATAAGACTATTCATAGGAACTACATCCTCATGTCACTCTAGCCAGTACTTAATCAGTTTGTTTTCATACTAATGTTTAAATATTAAGCATATGGCTTGCATCCCTGTTAAAAATCAAAGATTTGAGGAAAAAGGATAATAAAAATGCTGTCTCTACTTTTGAAAAGCCCATAAATACCACACAGTATGAACAAAAACATTTCATACCATCAGTGTTAGTTTTCATTCTAAAAAATATAAATCATATTTGGTTCTCTGGGAAGACACCCTTAATTTCTTTTTCTTAAAAAAGAAAAAACAGTACATAATTAGAGAGTTACTTTTCTTTAAAATAAAACTAAAATTTATTTTTACATCTATTTCATAGTGATATGGTTTACTATAGCTTCATTAACAAGGGCCAAATAAAATATATGCTTACTAAGAATTCACCTAATTAGTGCCATCTATTCTCTTGAAAGCTTGATGTACTGTAATAACCAAAACCATTTCCTATGGCTTAAAAAAACCTGTAAATTTTATTAGAAGCTAAAGGGAAAAAGCAGTAATATTAATAAAACACAGTTTTAAGTGTTTGTTTCTTGAAAACAGATAAACCAAAATGTTACTGGTATCATGATACTCCCCTTTAGTATTTGTGGTCCCTTAGGGTTCTGGGATATCAAAGACAGACTATTCTGCTCACAAATCTTAAATGATTTTTTTTTATCAGTGTTGTGAGACTTGTCTATACTTTGTGTGGAAGGCTAAGAAAAATCTCCAGAATAACTTCAAGCTCACATTTTAGCCAACATTTACATAACTCACAAAATCTTTTCTGATTCCAACATTTTCCAACCATCTCCCACTTTGAGCAAGCACACCTTCTCCCCATTGTCTCCTCTATTAACCTGATGACCCACAGTGCCTTGCTTTATTATCAGGAGAGAGAAGTAATCTTCATCCCCACTTGAGCCTTAAAGGTCTTATTATCATCTTGCATATTCTGTTTCTTACAATATACTGTACCTATCTATCCATGATGAACACAGGCATTAGTGGTATCACTTGGTTCCTATCTCATATACAGCACTAAAAGATCACATGAATACCAAAATTACATACACACACATAGGTCACACATATATATCAACTTAGTGACAGTAAAATATTAAAGAAAAAAGGGAGACACAATTTATCCCTGAGTGGTCTTATTAATTAGTATGAATAGCAGGGTGATAGAAGTCTGTTAAAAAAAAAGCTTACAGCTAATTCAAGATCAATCGTGTTTTTATGCATTTGCAAAGTATAATCCAAAAATAAACAATTCCATTTGCAGGAGCATCAAAAAGAATAAAATACTTATAAACAAATTTAACAAAAGACATAAACCTTATACTCAAAACTGCAACACACTAAAATTAAGACCCAAATAAATTGAAAGATACCTTATTTCATGGATTAGAATATAATATTGTTAAGATAGTGATACACCTCAAATTAATCTACAGACTCAACACAATCCCCATGAAAATTCCAGCTGGCTTCTTTGCAGTAACTGACAAGCTAATCATAATTGACAAGCTAATTCACATGGAAATCCAAGGGGACCAAAAAACGATCTTGAAAGAACATAGTCGGAAACCCACTCCCAACTTCAAAAATTTCAGTGCTACAGTAATCAAGACAGTGTGGTACTGGCATAAAGATAGACACACTGATCAATGAGATAGAACTGAGTCTAGCAATAAACTTAGTCACTTCATTTTTGACAAGAGTGCTAAGAAAATTCGATAAAGAAATAACAGTCTTTACAATAAGTGGTGTTTTGACAGACAACTGGATATCCACATGCAGAAGAATGAACTTAGACCCTATCTCATGCCACATATAAAAATTAATTCAAAATGGGTCAAAGATCTAAATGTAAGCACTGAAACTATAAAACTCTTAAAAGATAGGTGTAAATCCTCATAAACTTGGATTAGGCAATGGTTTCTTAGATGACACGAAATGTACAAGCAACGAAAGAAAAGACTGCAGACTATCAGAATTAAAAACTTTCACTGCTTCAAAGGATACCATCAAAAAAGTGAAGACAACCCTCAAAATGGGAGGAACTTTACAAATCTTATTTCTAATAAGGAACTTGTATCTTTATAAAATATATAAAGAACTCATACAACTCAAGAACAAAAAAAATAATAATTTTAACAGGCAAAGGATATAAATTCATTTCTTCAAAGAAGATACACAAATGGTCATTAAGCACATGAAAATTTGCTCAACATCACCAGTGGTAAGGGAAAAGCAAATCAAAACTGCAAAGCGATACCACCTCTGTATTAATCATGTCTTTTAATTGCTATATTCTGATGATTTGACATCTGTGGCATTGCTCACCCCTAGAAAGACAGCCCCTCACCCCTCTAATTCCTAGAGATAGCCAAACAACTCACCTGCCAGTGCACTTTACATATGCAAACCAACCAGTCTAGAGCCCATGCCCCCAAGCACCTCCTTACTGGGGTTCTCACTCTCCAGGCCACCATCCATACACCTTCATCACTCAAGCCTCACTCAAGCCAGGTACCAGAAAACTAGAGACAGTTTCTATGCCTTGGAGCTTGCTGAAATTATGTAAACTAGCCAATCAAAGTCTGTTACCTTGCCTCAGAATGTCTTCCCACAGAAACCACAAAAAAGGCTCCTACCCACATTTCTCGTGACTCTCTCTGCCCCACTGACCAACCCTGGTGCTTCCCCATTTGTCCCTGGGTGGCAGGCAATGCCTCCTGTTTCTAGGGCCCTGGGAGTACAATGAACTTCTTCCTTCATGACATTTTCAAGCCTGGGTACTTGCCATTCCTGATTAAAACAAATCCCAGGTACCCTTAGAATAACTTTATACTCACTAAAATGGCTATAATCAAAAAAACAGATAATAACAAGTGTCAGAGAGGACATTCAAAAACTAACAAACATAAAATGGTATGGCCACTTTGGAAGAATGTTTAGGAGCTTCTCAATGGTTAAATATTTCTGGCGAATATTTATACCTAAGACTCATCATATTACCACCCCACTGCTACTCATTTAAGTCTCATGCTCTACTGTGTATAGTCTACACAGAAAAAGCAACAGGAAACTTAACTGCTTGTCCTACACAATGATACTGAAGAAAACCAACTATAAATTATTTTAAGCAAACAGATATTAGAAACCAAATATGTTATTAGCAGTTAAATTCTCAGTCTAGTCAAAATGATGAAAAATAGTTATTAATTGTCAACAAACATTTTCATACACAGTTATTTACCATTAAAGTAAAAAATAAGTAACTCTATACCTTTTTCTCCTTAGACTTCTGTGCAGTCTGAGAAGTGACATTCTCATTTTGGTGAACAAACTCTTGCGCTACAACTGTTTTTACAGGGTCTCCTTCAAGAACACAGTTTAGAAATTGTACTGTGTGTTCTAATGAATAGCTGTAGAGAGTTTAAGTACAAATATGATGTCAATAAATAAAAATAAAATTTACATGGTAACATTAACATAAGTAATCCTTCAAGTATATTAGAAGAATATGAAAAATTAGCTTACTTCTAAGTTTTAAATATCAAAATTAAGTGCTCATTATGTATCTCAAGGCTAAAGAGTGACCAGAGAGAAACTGTCAAGTAATAGGCTCTCAAAACTAATTCTTTAAAATGAATACCAAAAGGAAACATATTAATAAGTAATTCACTTCCCAATCTTTTATTCCAGGTAGATTATCCACATTAAATCTTTCTTCCATGTTAATACCTATACTCCTTAAGTCCTTTGTTGGATTCACACATGGTTTAAGTTTCCTTTAAACATCAAACAATTATCTTTAAACTGACATTTTTATTGTGTCAAATTTCACTTTTTACTTACACCATGGAGTTCTTGTCAACAAAAATCTAAGCAGGGATACAGAAAAGAAAAAGTAAAACACTACCCCTACCTTCCACCTCTATATTATTCAGATATATTTTCATGGTGATACTCTACAAATTGACAACACTCATGTTCCAATATCTAAAGAAACTCATTCCAATGGAAATCATACTTGACCCTTGAACAACACAAGGGTTAGGGGTGCCAACTCCCCATGCAGTCCAAAATCTGCATATAACTTACGATTCCCCAAAAACTTAACTACAAACAGTCTACTGTTGACCGGAAGCCTTACCAATAATAATCAAGTAACACATATTTTGTATGTTATACGTATTATAAACTGCATTCTTTCAATAAAGTAAGCTAGAGAAAATTCTTTTTCAAATTGTCACAAATATCCAAATTTTCCACACATTTATTGAAGAAAATCTGTATCTAAGTAGACCCATGCAGTTCAAGCCTGTGTTGTTCAAGAGTCAACTGTACAAATGATTTTATACTGCTCATTATTTCAGACTATTTATGCCTCTGATCATTCCAATGGCCAGATGATTAAGAGCCACAAAGGAGTATTGTTGAAATGTAATAAATAGTTATTCATATAGTGTGATATTTTGCTATTCTTCAATTTATTAAAGACAACCCTTGAAGGGGAACCATTTGGGACTGCCAATTCCACTTTAGTCCTTTCATCATGTTGCCTCAGATACACTCAATAAATAGGGGTTTTAGGGTTTAGAAGCCACCAGCAATTACCACATCCTAAGTAGCCCATAATAATTGCCTGACTTGCCCACTCATGGAACTGGAAGCCACTGGTGGTGTTACGAGGAGTATGGCCCTGGAAGATTATACCACAGACATATACTGCAGTAACTGAACTCACCTACCCTTCTTACCAGGATGAAGCTGAAACTACCGCTAACTGAGAAACTATCCAGTTGCTGGCAGACAGATGGAGGCAATCAACAGACCCAACTAACCAATCACTCTGGGCACCCACCCCCAGGAAGGAGTCATTCAGTCCCCTTACCTTGTGTCTGGGTTTCATATCAGATCATCTTGCCCTGGGTCCCCAATAGAAAAGGGTTGTCATATGCCAGCACCACTCCCTTAACCCCTATCCCCTTAGGAGATTTTAACACATAACTCTACGAAAATTGTAGATAAGGCAGCAAAACTAAACAGGGACATTGTGAACTGGAATAATACCATTAAAAACCTGATTCAAATGACATATTTAGAACTCCACATACTCTGAAGAGAATACTCTTTTTCAAAAGCACTACCATGTAAAATTTATTTTTAAAAGCTGGTCATGTATTATTAAACCACAAAGAAAATCTCAAATTCTAAAAAGCAGAACTCTTCCAAGACACATCCTTGTACCCCAACACAAACAAAACATAATAAACAATAACCTTCCCCTCACCACAACCACTACCAAAGCCATTTACTAAATTCAAAACACTTGGGTAAATGAGGAAATCAAACTGAAATAGAGATTATTTAGAAAATAATTAAAATTAAAATACTATATATCACAATCAAAACATTACATACGTATTTAAAACACTATACAGAGAAAAATTCATACCCTTTAGTGTATTTAATCATTGAAAGGAAACTAACTAAAGAGTTGAAAACAACAAATTTTAAGAGAAAGGAACCATCAAAAACAGAAGGGAATCACCAAAAACAAATGATTTTTTTTCTCTAAATCATTAGATAAAGTAAAATAATGGACTTTAATCAATAAACCAAAAGCTGTTCTTTAAAAGGGCCAATCAGATAAAAAGCAAAAACAAAGATAAAACAGTAAAAAAAAATTAGGAAAGGAATAAGGAATATGATCAAATACAAAATAATGTTTCTACTTACCAAAGAATATTACATACTACTTAACAAAAATAAACCTGAAAACCAAGGTAAAATTGATGATTTTCTGGAAAAGAAACCACCAGAAAAGACTCATGAAAAACACAAACAGCTGAATAAAGCAATAAATAATCTTAAAAAGATAGTGAAAGGTTCTAAAGACCTCCTCCCTGAAAAGACACAACCTCAAAACCTTCAAGGTATTAATTTATTTAAATTTCCCAGAGCATAAAGAAAAACAGCAGTTTTACCAGGTTATTTTATTAAGCCTCATATGGAAAAAAAACCCCTAAAACCAAAATCTGAACAAAGATAGCATAGGAACAGAAAATCACAGACCAATCTCATTTAATAACTGTTGTAAAATTCCTGAAATCAATTCCTACACTCCATTAAAGGAAAAAAAAACAAAACAAAAATCTGAAGGTAAAGTAGGTTTTATTCCAGAAATCTATTATTGTGGCTGATATGAAATATACTAATAAAGAAAAAAATCTGTTTTAGATTCCCAAAAATTTTTTAAAGGATCTATTTAAAACAACTCTGGCTATATTAGGAATTTATGAAATACATAAAATCAAAAGTATGTATTCTTCAAATCAGAAGCTCTCCTACCATATCAAACATCCAATCACACCATAACATTTAATAATTTTTAAAATATGGTGGAAACCCAGGAACAAACAAATAGCTCAATGGAACTGAAGTCTTTAAAAGGAAATGTGTACTTGGGAATGTAGTAAATGCTAGGGATTATATTTTATATCAGTGGATAAAGATGATCTATCCATCCAGTTAATCATTTGGAAGAACAATTAAGTTAAATGTCTACCTCATATCATACACATAAAAAGGCTAGACAAATTAAAAATTGTTAACCACTAAAAATAGTCAAGAAAATATTTTTACAATATTGGGGTAGGACAGACTTCCTAAAAAAGTAAAGAACACATAAAACTTGGAAACAATAAAGGAAAATATTTTCTCATAAAACATATAAATTAAAGCATGTATATGACCAAGGAGATTGAGAGAAGTATAACAGCAGGAAAAATAATTATAATCCAAATTAGCAAAGATAACTATACATAATATATAAAGAGCTCTCACATAACTAGAAAGAAATACAAACCACCAAAGGAAAACAGGCAAAAAATAAGCAATTAACAGAAAAAGAAATTAATAAAAAAAAAAGATCAACCTTACTAGTATTCAGGACAATAAAAATTTAAACAATAATAAAACCTTTTCCCATCAAATTGGCAAAAGTTTTAGAGAATCTTAATAACCAGAGTGGGTTACACTATCAGTGCACATAACTAATAATGAAAATGTTTTACCATCTGAGGAAATTTGGCATTCATTGTAAAAATGTTAAATGCACACACTCTGAGCCAGCATTTCTTTGAGGAGCTAGCCTATACTAGCATTCACCCATGTACACAAAAATGTATGTTCAAGGATGCTTACTGCCAACCTGGTTTCCAATTTTTCTAATAGTCAAAAAGCTCATAAGTAGGAACATGTTAAAATAAATTACAGGACATTAAGAATACTATGGAATACTCTGTAGACTTTAAAAGGAAAAGAGCAGATCACTAAGTATGGACAGGGAAAATAAGTAACAGCGAATCAACACAACCATACATAAAATACAATCTATTTTGGTGAAATATGTATTTATATATAGACAAAAAAGCAAATAGGTACACATGTATGTAGGTACACATCACTATATGAGAAAAAAATGAGGAATATGAACCAATTGCCAGAAACTGCTCACTTTCTACATTATATACATTGCATTTAACTTGTTTAAAATATAACATTATCTTTATGAGAAAAATTAAACTAAGAGATTAAAATGCAGGACATATACTTCCAATGGCTTAACAGAAGAACCCACAGACAATCCTTCTAACACTCACTTGTGGTCCTTGAAAATGTCTACCAGAAAATTTTGGTTAATGGCCGGAAATATCTTAAAAAGCTGCTTCTCTTTTAGTTTAGTGGCACAATCTTTTTCAAACATAAGTGGCTCCCTTTTCTAAAACAAACAACAACAACAAAAAGACAAAAGTTATCCTTAAGATGGAGTTCATAATACTAATTGTGCTGACCCAAAAGCATGGTTATTTTGTTGCTAATAATTTATGACTAATAATTTAAAAGCAATCACAGACTTTCTTCACTGATTAAAGGCTGAAATTAGTAATATAAGCATTCTTGCATTATTTATTTATATCCCATTTTTTCAAAGTATTTGAAGCTGCTTCTTAATACACACTCATACATACACATGTATGTGTGCATGTGTATATAAATATATACATTCATACTCTCACATATATACACCCAACACATTCAATCATATGTAAAAAAGGATGAAGGTACATATATATACACATAAAAACAGGATATAAATAAATGAAGAAGTCAGAAAGTAGAGAAAAGTTAAGAATACAGGATGATAAAGCTAGCAAGTAAAATTAGTAATATAAACGCATGCCACAATATCCTGTACAATTGCTAAAGGTGGGCCATAAATTCAGTTCTGAGCTTCTTAGTGGCCAAAGCAAAGGGGGAAACAAAGATTCTCAGTGTCCATAAAATAAAAACAAACCAGTTACTCAGGAGAAGTACAGCTTTTTCTGGTACTGAGACCTGAGAGAAATTTCTCCCATGGGTCCTCATAAAAGGGACACTGTGTGATGCTCTGAACAACGTCCTCAAAAACATATTCTCCTCAATGAGCAGAAACTACAATGTACAAATAAGTTGCAAATTCAGGTTGACAGAATATCTTAAAATTCACAATTTAAAAAATTTTCACAAACATGTATTATTCCAAAATAACTATATGAGAATTTTTACTAATTGTTATGTTTTACAAGTCATATTTGGATCTGATTAAATTGCCAGAACAAAAGAACTTTCCTAAAATGTGCTTTTTTAATTCTAACAGTGGATTATGGTAAACATTCTTAAGTGATTTTTAACTCTAGGATAGTTTGTTAACCTGTGATATTGCTAAATATTTCTGATGCTACAAAAATCCTAATATCAGAAAAAAACTTCCTATAAAATTTCAAAGGTGATTCTGAAAATATAAAAATTACACTTAATCTAAGACAATCCTAGATTACTGGTTTTTCAAGTCTAACTATAGGCCATTTGTAACATCAACAACAATAAAAAAAGAACTACAATAGGTAACAATCCGATCAGTAAAATGAACTGGTAAAGCTAAACATATCACACATCTCAAGAGTGACATAAACAAACCATCTCAAGAAATTAAAAATATTTCCCATTTTAGGATACCCATTATAACCTGAACTTACTAAAAAATTTTTGTGATCAGATTTATTAGCAATCTAACAGATCAGATTCTAAACTACAAATTCTAAGTTCTCATTAATAAACTGAAATCCATGACCTTTAACATCTTACTATAAATTCTTCTATTCATATATTATGCATAAAGTATATTTCATATTCTTTGCTTTAAAATATATATAGTGTATTTTTCTTCTGGGGACAAAGAGTGAGGAGAAAGCATCAAGAAATTCTCTTCCTGAAGCTCTACCTAAGGGGGGGTATCATTGGGACCAAAAGAGGACAGCTTCTATTACCCAACCCTTAGAAAGACAAGCAAAAATCACTGATAGAAAAAAAATGCATTAAGTTGGGACGTCAAAGATACTCATTTATTCACTACTACACTGAGAAATTAAAAGTCAGGTTAGAATCATAAAGATAAGTTTCAGTAGTGGAAAATGACATTTAAACAAAAAAATGTCACATCATTTGGATGTAAGTCCTAGGCTTTCCTTATTTTTTAAGAAAATCCATTTCTCCAATTTATTATACATATAAATTGAAGAGGATGTCTGGAACAAACTAAACTCCAAGATCCTAGTGCAGAGATTGTTCCTTGGATTATGTAAACATGCAAAGATGGGAATGGTAGCATACTTCCAATTTAGTTAACAAGATAACTAGGGAAAATAAATATGAAGGTGGGGGTGTCCCATCATTTCTCCTATGTCCCAATTATACATATATTAGCCAAGTATGAAGGTATTCCTGTGAGCACTCAAATGGGTAAGAAAGAGAATAAAATGACTTAAGATCACCAAGGATTATTTTTTTCTTGAGAATTGGACTAAATAACCTCTAAGGTCTTTTTCCTTTTGCTTTTGAAATTTTCTAATACTAATTTTCAAATTTTCAAAAAAGGCCAAGAAGAAGAAATGCAAAAGAAACTAAATTATGGTTTCATATAATTAGGTATGTTGATTAAGGAACAGAAAATATAAAAAGTTCAAAGTAAGGTGACATTTCTGTTTGAATTTGTTTAAAAGAAGTGGATAGAAAAAGGGTACTTAATTCTTAATTCAAATTCATAAGTTTCAAAAATATTTCTTTAAAAAATAGTTTCAAAGATGGACATTTCTTTAATAGCAAGACAGACATTTCTTATTACTAATTTATAAATGAAATTATCTTTAAGTGAGTTCTTTCATAATGTTTCAGAATCAAAAAATTAGAGGTAAATGCTAAAAATCAGGAAATATGCACCTCAATCACCAGCAAAATTAAATCTAGAACAACATATTTCACATAGATTGGCTTACTGTTATAGATACCAACTGATTTCGCAGAAGCAAAACCTCCACCTTCAAAATATATTTAACACATTTGTTAATTTTAACACTAACTTCAATCAGTTAAATAAAGTTCATTTTGCAGACTAGGAAATGCAGAATCAAATGAAAATCACAAAATAAGGACTAATCATACAATCAACCTAGAGTCAGAGACAAAGACTTAATTTTTTACTAACTCATACCAAATCATTTTTTTCCTGTAAGGCAATTTCTTCTGACATTATTTCTCTGAGTGATACTTTTTTAGTTTGAATATTCCAATGATCCAATAAGGGTAGCATTTCAGGTGCTGCTAAAGTCTTCAGTAATTTTTTGCCTGTTCTCTGAGATGATTTTTGTTCAGGATTATCAAAACCAATAGGCCCAACTAGGGAAGGATCTACAAAAGCATATAAATAAGTATCAGATCTTCCACAATAATGTACAAATTAAGCATTATTCACATCTAACTCAGTGACCCAGGAAACATGATTTTTTACTTTTAGCTTATCAATACCACACAACTTCAAAGCTTCAAGATACATTACATAATTGCAAACAAAAAAATACATATATATATATATGTAGGAATATTTCAAATGAGCAATGATCTGGGTATCACTGTCAAACAACTCAATACCTCCCATTCTTTTTCATATCATACAGACACACAGAAAATAGTGATACATGTATACTGGTAAGTGGAGGAAGCTGGGACCAGCCGGAAGTGACCAGCTAGAACATATTTGATTGTCAGCTTTGTTCAGCCACTCCAAGGGCTGAAAGGATCATTTTGGCAAACCTCTAACCTACTGGAGGCACACAATAAATTTTGAACAAATGATATTCAACATAAGGACAGAATTAAACATTCTAAGAAGCTCACAATAATAATATTTAATATACAGTACTTCCACATCTCTAATGGATATCAACACATTTTCTTATGTTCCTTTGCTTTCCTTGAGAGTGAAGAAACAGCAGATACTATCATCCACTTAACTCTGATACCCTTTAGGCACCTCTAGCCCTCAAACAGCTCTAGCTTTTAAAGCTACAACATAAGCACAGGTCTGAACTAAGCACACCCTAAGAATGTCCAACCTGAATTCCTAGAGTGAAATAAACAAAGGAGGTATCTGGAAGAACTCATGCACAAAAGGAGGACCTTATTAACAGGTGTGCCACCCTGCATTAATCACTGAGGACAATGCTATCAAAGAAGTCTTTTGGTATCAAATATTTTCAATTTGGCAGATTGAAATTTATTTTTGGTATCAAAAAAGCTCTAACAATACTGACATCAATGAAATTGTGAACAATCAAATAGTATTTCAACAGTGTTCTCAATCAAACACATGAACACGTTACTGCTCTCAAATCAGGTTTCTTTCATTCAAAGCAAAATCTTAAAACAGGAAACCTCTTAACAATATGTATTACAGGACACCTTAGGTGTTTCCATGGCAGTCATTAAAGTTAAATAAAATAGAGGGGCTTTTATCTTCTTTAAGTTTTACTTTATTTTATGTCAATATTAAATTTCATATACTTTTCCAAGAACTTTTATTTGCAAATCAAAATTCTTGGGTAACATTTTGTGGAAGTATATTTAAAATGAGTTGAAATTTAGACACATACAACAAGTTTCAAAATCAAGACAAAAACATTGTAAGTAAAAATATGTGCTTTACCTTGCATAAACTTGCCACAGGAGACCTCTTCTTGTCTTTGTCGCTCCTAAACACAAATGCAAAACAGGGAATTGGCAAAGGAAGGTGCATTAGAAAACAAGACTGTATTTTTTTTCTCTAGAAATCATCTCCCCTTGTAAAACTATCAATCCTTCTTGCTAAATCTAAGTGAAACAAAATTAGACAAATAAAATTATAAAGTATGACTAATAGTTTTCCACTTACAGAGCTCTTATGCTCTGTTTTTTTAAAGTATTTTTGAAATTTAATCAATCAGTACTCCAAGTCTTTAGGAAGGAAAAAATTATGATTTTTTTTTCCTTAAAAAAAAAAAATCAACAATCATGGAGCTTCATTGTTAATCACATAGTTTGACCACTCTGGAAATCATCTAAAATACAGGAAAGATAAAAAAAAAATCAGTCATTTGTTAACTGGTAAAAGTTCACTCTCTCTCAACATCAAAATTAAATGGAACTGTTTCATATAACAGATTTTACTGAAAAGCAAAGGTGACAAAATGGGCACAGGAGGAGCTCTTTATAAAAAGAAGCCTACCAACCATTACAGATTCTTTCCATTTCTCATGAATCACTTTAGCCAGATTCAGATCTATATGAACCACACAATCCTCAACTGTTAGAGACCCTTGTGAAGGGGAAGAAAGAGAAGAAAATATATTCATTACTCATTAAACATTTGCAGAAAACATATTCAACCACCTTACACACCAGAAAATTAATTTGTATTAGGAATTACTAACCTATAGTCCTCATTCTAAATCTCTTGGAATATTTTTCTTTATGTAATATGTTACTGTCTTAACACTTCTTAGTATGTGCAATTATACAATGCTTCATATGTTTAAGTTATTCATGTCCATAAGTCTCAATATATTCAATTTAGCCATTTCCATTAGTCAAGAATTTTCAGTAAGAGTAGCCTAAGAAATTAGTCTTGCCTTAAATGTATCTGGAGTAGAACCAGATGATTTTTAAAAAGTCATCTGTGCAAATAACTCTAAGGCAAATGCTGGAGAAAACTTCTAAAATGCATGGGATGAACATAAACTCCATATAAATTCTATTTCTTCAAATTATATATATTTTTAATTCTCAACAAACACATTGTATCAAAAATGAGGTAGGCAATACAAATTACTTTGACATTTCAGTGAACATATGAAAATTTTTAAATTGAAACAGAACCCTCCATCTATATCCAATTCACAGAAAGACACATACAGGTAATTTACTTTTTCCCTACCTGAATCAATACCAACAGGGCCAAATAATTCATTGAGCTGAAAAGCCAGTTCAGGAGGTAAAGCCAATTCCAGACAGTCTATCGTCAGAGATTTGGCCATCACTGGTGTAGGATTCAACATCTCACTTTTGTCTTCATTAATTCCAGCTGACAAAGTACTCCCTGCCATTAGAATTTTTTCCATTTCTTGTTCATCCTCATTCATAAATTCTTCTGTGTTTGGAAATTTCACATAATCCCTTGAGAGATTTTCATTTTTCTTTATTTCAAAAGAGTCAGTAAAATCAATTTCTTCATTTAATTCAAGATTTGAAGTGCTCGATACAGAATTTAAAATACCAGACAAATTCAAAGACGAATGTACACTGTCTCTAATCTCCATGACTTCTACATTCTTCTCCATTTCATTCACATCCTTAGCAATAGTAGCTTTTAGACTACCTGGAAAAAACTGCTTAATGTTATATAAACCTGAAAGTTCTGTTTGAGAATTAGGAAGTACATCATTAGTATTCTTTAGATCTACAGTGGCATTGGGAAATATAGTTGTTATTAATCCAGGTTTTTCAGTATTTATAGCTCTTACTTCTTCCTGCTCTGAGTTTCCCTTTTCTGAATCACAGGGAGACTGTACGTCAATGTTAGTGATGCCAATTCCATGGCTAAATTCTGGCAGAGAAGAATTAGAATCCTCTAAGGTACCTCTTTGGCTAATAATTTCCTTCAAATTCAGTCCCAGAGAAAATGGCCCAATTTGTGCTTCACCATATGATCTTTGGATATTCTCAAATTCAGTATCTTCACATAATTTAGTTTCAGAATCCAACAAAAGGCTTGTGGCCCAAATAATATCTTTGTTACACCTCTCATATAAGTCTTTTAGGGCTTCTAATGAAAAGGATCCAAACAGTTTACAAAGAATGTTAAGATTTTCAGATTCATCAGCACTGGTAAGCTCACTTTCTTCAACATATGTGCTTTTATCATACATTACCCTATATGGAATTATTTCTTGAACATCTAATTTTGTGTTAATATTGAAAGTTTTTGGTTTAAATCCATCTAATCTTCCTGTTAATACTCTCACAGAATCTGAAACATTAATATTATTCTTTTCTATTTTCCATAAGAGAGCAAAATCCTGTGGTTCAGTCTGGGTACACATTCCTACTTCTATTCCAGGGAATTCTTGAGGCTCTCCTGGAAATTCAGCTAAAGACTGTGGTCCTACTACTCCAGGAATAGTTGGTACACTATTTGTAAGAGACAGTGTGCATTGCCTATAAATCTTTTCACTTGGACAAGTTTTATCCTCCTGGGCCATTTCATTGGATAGCATTTCAGAACTTTCAAGAGTGGAACTACCCAATGTTTTTAGTTCTTCAGGGCTTGTGCCCCAACAGGCCTCATGTGCCTTATATAAGGATATTTCATTCATACTGTCATTAGTTCCAAATTCTAGCTTGGGTTCATTTAAACCTGCTTTTGGCATTCTTGATTTGTGCTCTCTCTGAGCTAAAGAATCAGATGATGGCCAGTCACCCACGATGTCAAATAATTTTTTTTCAGTATTTTTGCAAGTATTATATTTACAGCTATTGAAAGATTCTGAAGTGTCATCACCCTGTGTCATCTTGTCATCCTCTACACTTCCAGGTGGAGATCCTCGTTGCTGGATATGATCTATACTTGCACATAGGCTATTATCTAATACTTTGTGTGACTGAGTGCGATTATACTTTTTGTCACTTTGTATAGATGAAGCTTTTTCAGTTTTCCGGTTCCTTTTTGTCCTTTGACCAATAGTCTTATCAACTGGCCAGTCACCAACAAAATTTGTTAACTCGTGTCTTGGGAACTTTTCCAAAGGTGATTTGCTCTTTTGTTTTCCAAAGGCTTTTTTCTTTACTGTTGTTCTATCTTCCAACATTTCACCAGGTGAAGATTTTTCATTTTGAAGAGGTACAGTATTTGAAAGATCACAGACTGCTTGGTTATTTTCATCACAGAAAATACTTGGTGACTCTCTCTCTACACAATCTACATTGGTTTTACTACATTCTTTTTCAGAAGACATTTCTACTTGCTCTTCTTTTTCACTTTTGTCTGTTACTTGTACTTGGCTTTCAGATTCAGAAAAATATATGTCTGGAACTTCCTGAATGAAAGCACTCTGAATGTTAGGATTCATACCACCAATTTCTTTTCTTCCTGGGCTTAAATCTGCACTGGGGAGATATGTACTCTGAGGTACCATAGTTTCTTTGGTCATTACAAGTTTCTTCTCTTCAGTTAACTCTACATGCTTCAAAGATGAGGATAAAACATTTTCTTCTTTTTCAAAGGAAATATCTTCATTGTCCTTTGGGCTGTAAGATTTTTTAAAAAGTATTATAAGGAAGTCTCAATGTTGCCATTAGTATTATGATTTAAATTAAAGCATTCAACTGAAATACAGGGCACTTAACATTTATTTATTATAAAAATTCCATAAAAGCTAATCTTGATCTTTCCATAATACACTCTGAACACATTCCTTTACTGTAACTCCAACACTTATTGGCATATAAGAAGCAAACTTTTTTTTATCCATTAGATATTAAATTAAGGTTCTAAATTTGTTCCCAGAAGAGGACACGACCTCCCTGGCTTCTTTCTGACCTATTTAAGCTTAATATGGTGAACTGAAAGTCTGCTTCTTTACCACCTGACATTTGTTACAGAGGCAAAAGTTTAAGCTTCATTTACAAAGTTGCAAAGAATCAACCAACATGACCTGCACAATTAAGAGAGGTTAAAGGGAGGAGAGCTCTCCTTAACATGTTACTTGTTAAATTTTTTAAAAGACATCCTTGGTATTAATTTCAGACTCAGAACATTTTTGCCTAATCATTACACTCATATAAACTTCAGTGCTTTTTCCTTATTCAATTTGTTGACTCATCTTCCTTTCTTTCTTTATTCCAGGAGCTCTCAATGTCCCATCTCTCCCATGAAGAATTCCTAAGTGAACTCACATCTATCACTGAGTTTCCTAAACGCCATATGCTATTCTAAGTCCTTTGTAAGTATTAATTCATAATCCTTATGACAACTTCATGATCAAAGTGTTATTAATGCCATTTTAGAAATGAGGAACTGAAGTTATAGGAGAGATTTTAATCAAAGATTACAAAGCTTTCAGATTCGAAGCCAGGAAATACAGTTCAGGAGCCCATGCTCTTAACCACATTGCAAAACTGCTCTTCAATAAAAAAGCATTTATGAATATCATCTCCCAACTCCAGCTCCTTTTAACAGAGGCTCTCCATCCTTTACCATCAAAAAATGTGGGTGATTCATACCTCTTCATATGCTTAAGGTTCTTTATTTACTCACTTATTTATTCAACTGTTTACATGTCCTAAATGTATACCACCATCAGTACTATTCTGAACTGCTAAATTTCAAAAGGCTGTGGCTTGTACTACTTAGTCAAAGTATACCATTCATAATTAACTTTTATGATACTAGCTTGAAAGTGACTCTTACTAATACCTAAGGAAATTAAGAAGTGATATGACTATATACAAAATAATAACAGAGCAGAGATAACAGATAAATAATGAAGAGCAGTATAAAGAAGGCAGGAGTATTCAAGTATAAACATGGATCCACAAAACGCTGAGGACAATGAAAAAACTCCCATGCCATCGCTCATAACTTCTACTTCTCTTGCTAACCATATATATCCTGCTTTAGGAAAGACTACATACTTAAACCCTACAAATAACAAGTGAGTGTTATTGTTATTTGTAGGGTTTGGTATGTCTAAGAGACACAAAGGTCTAATATATATCTAATCTAAGTCGCAGAAAGAGAAAAGAAAGTACATGGGACAGAGAGAGCACAGACCTTATTTTAGTTATTTGGCAGTGATTTCACAAGTTCCACATTTTTTCAGTTATGCTTCAAATTGAGTTTTTGTACATAGGGACTTCAACCTACCTAGTAATTCTGTCCTCACATGAATATGCACACATCTCAATACGTTCAATTTTCTCTGGAACCGAAGAACTCATGATTATTGGCACTGAAACAAAACGTTGGTAGTGTTCCAACATTCTTGTTATTTTATCTTTGCTTACCCCATGAATATTACGCCTAAAAATTCCACAGGAGAAAACAGTAGAAGAGATATTGGTAATTAAGTTTAGAAAATAATTGGAAACAAAATGTCAAAAAACACTGATATATTTTTCTAATACATAAAAATATAAAAGCTAGTTTGTTATGACATAACATATACTATTTGATTCCAATTTTCATTTTATTCAGTATGTCTTACATTATCAGTGTCTCAATCATTCCAAACAAACCTTTATCAACCTGAAAAAACTAGATTCAGTAACTTTAAAAGATGTTATTATAAAGCTCTGCAAAAAAAAACAATCTCAAAAGAATATAGCCATGATTTCAAGGTTTTAATTGTTGACTAGTAAGTAAAGAAATTCCACTACAGAGGCTTACATTTGTGCCAGTAAGGCCAACCAGATGTCTCAGAAGGCCCTCCTTTTGTAATAAAACTGGATCACAAGTGAATTAAAGCAAACATACATTTTAACACATTTTAAGATGAAAAGAGAAGAAAAAAATTCCTTAGTATTTGAAGTTTCTGGATGTCCAAATGTGAAGTTTGTTACATTGTGCTTTCACTCAAGCTGGCATATTTCTTTGGGTTTGGTTTATGAGCTCATACTTAGTTTAATCTAAAATCCTTAGGTCTTAAAATTGAGGCTCGTTTCATTTATACAACATCTGGATTTATATCTGCCAAGAACCAGATGGTGTGCTTTAGTCCCTCAAGAGTCCTGCCTTAATGAAAACATCTCATTGCAACTCTCCTATCTTGGGTTGGATCCTGGGTTGGATCCAAGACTTAGTGCCAAGATCCCAGGGCTAACATTCGCATTAGCCACCCAGGCAAATCTAACTTCTGTATTTACCTACCTCAGTCTTGTCTGGTTTCAGATCACAGAGAAGCAGAGATAGAAATATGAAAGACAGGTTAAGAGACATGGACATTGAAGACAGCAAGAAGGTCTAGTAAACATCTAATATAAGTCCCAGAAAGAGAAAACAGAGTACATGGGACAAAAGTAGTTTAAAGAAA